CTATTAGATTCACTTAGTCCAAATGAATTTATTAAACTCAACTTAATGAGTTCCATAATTTCATTTAGACCGTGGGAAGCCTTGTTAGCAACCGTAGGTTACCTCCTCCGAGGAATTCCCGATCATCCGATAAAGATATCTTACATTAGTTGAAGTTGTAGTTTTGTGTGATGTTTGTGATTAAATTTTGAGTTGTTTTATATTTTGAATGTTGTGGCGGTGAATTTTATCTTGGTTGATTTTAATTTTGATTTTGGTTTTGGTTTTGTAGCTATCCTGATACTTTTAGTTTTCATGCAGGCTGACATCGTTGTTTAGCATGCAAGCTTGTGTTTTGTTCATACATGCAGGTAAGTAAGCATAGTGTAGGAAAGCTTAAGACAATGTTATAAACCATAAAAGCGTAACTGGCAATTCAATTTTCTTATTTAGAAAATCAGGAAAAATATTCTAATTATTTTATCTTGATAGCTTTAGTTTTCCATGCAATCACAAAAGTATAGCATAAAAGTACAAGAAAGACAACGCTAAAAACTGTAAAAACGTACCTAGCGAGTTTTTAGCCTTTAAAAAATTATTTTTATGCTTTGAAATTCAATTTTTTTATTTTAGAAAATCAGAAAAAATATTCTAATTATTCCTAAGTGATTACAAAGCAAATTAGAACATTTCCACGAGTTTTATTATTTTTGTGATTTTTAGGGTTTTTTAATTATTTAAATATTTAAAATAGGCTAAAAATCAAATTTTTATTTTAAATATCATTTTGTTTTTATAAAATACCTCTGATCACAGAGAACTCAAAAAATAAGTTTTTGTAAATTTTTGAGTTATATTTTGATTTATAAAAAAAAATCATTTAAGTGCTAAAAAAGATATTTAACTTGAAAAATCAATTTAGAGCATCAAATGTACTCAAAATACTTTGAAATTGTTATGGGAAGTTCTCTGGATCTTAGAAAATAGTGGAGATAAAAAATCAAGTCATTTTGATGTTTGTATTTTCTAAAATTAATATCTTAATGATTTAGTGTTTGTGAAAATTAGGTGCATTTTAAATGACTTTCATGAGAAATTTTTCTAAAGGCTCTTTGGTCATCATAAATCTTCCAAAATTTTCTTGAAATTTTCTAATCAACATGCTAATTTCCATGATTAATTTAAGCTTGTTCCTAAGTTGTTAGGAAGCAATTTAGAATATTTCCATGAGTTTTATTATTTCTGTGATTTTTAGGGATTTTTAATTATTTAAATATTTAAAATAGGCTAAAAATCAAGTTTTTATTTTAAATATCATTTTATTTTTTAGAAAATACCCGTGATCTTAGAGAACCTAAAAAACAAAGTTTTATACTTTTTAAAGTTATATTTTAATTATTGAAAATCATTTTAGTGCCAAAAATGTTAATTAACTTGAAAAATTAATGTAAGTTATCAAATGAACTTAAAATGCTATGAAATTTTTATGATGAGTTCTCTGGATCCTAAATAATAGTGGAGATTAAAAATCAAGTCATTTTGTTGTTTGTACTTTCAAAATTAATTACTTTAGTGATTTAGGGTTTGTAAAGATTAGGTACATTTTAGATGACTTGACTCATGAGAAATTTTCCCAAGGACTCTCTCGTCATCATAAACCTTTCAAAATTTTCTTGAATTTTTCTAAGAAACATGCTAATTTCCATTATTAATTTAAGCAAATAATACATATAAACTTGAAAAATATGATTATCTGTCTAGGGACCTTCTCTGACTTTGAAAAAATCAGGGATATTCCCTAAGACAGAGACAACAACATGCTAAAATTTCAAGCCATAGTGTGATTACTACATGCATGGAGAATCAAAACATTCAAATCAGTGTTTAATTAATTAAAACTAAAATATGCATCAAATAGATTCCAAATTATTTCCACATTATTTGATGCAAAACATTCAAATCAGTGTCTAAAGCCTAGGTGTGATTTTGATCAAGGCCGATTTTGGGTGTTGGTCTAGAGCTATTGAAGAGGCTATTTTAGAGGGTATATTGATGGGGCTTTGTCTTCTCTTGTTGTTGTGAAGGTGTGGGAACAAGCAATTGAAGTTTGGTGGAGTTTTTAGGGATGTCCTATTACTGGCCTAATTTTCAAGATCAAAATTAGGGTTACACAGGGGGAATCAAGGCAGTGGAGTGATTGGAATGGGCTGT